AGTGCTGGGGATCTTCACCTGGATAATGGCTGTGGAGCCTTGGCACAGTGATTCATGGAAACACAGCCCAGGAGACACATTCAGAGAATACTTACTGGAGGGTTTATAAAAATACCTTTTGGTGGTGCACTGCTGTTTTCTGTCATCTGCTGAAAGGTCAAACCTGCACTGAAGCACCAGGCATTGGCCATTGCTACAGGTAGGAGGAGGCATCGAGATCCTGATAATTTTTTTTCACTCCACATCTCACTGTACATTAAAAAGAAACTCAGACAAATGATTAAGTTAATTTTCCCTAAAATAAAAAAAACTTAATAACATACTTGGAAGAAGTGGAAGAAATAGACCTACTCTCTGAGGTCACTAGGATTGGATAGGTGCAGGGCTCTTAGAATCATAGAATCATAGATCACCAACGTTGGAAACGACCTCCAAGATCATATAGCCCAACCATCCACCTCCCACCAATATTTCCCCACAAGTTTTCATGAAACTGGAAGAGAAAAAACACATGCTGGAGGAACAGTGGGGAGGTGGGAAATGTAAGGAAGTGCAGTAAGACATGCTGTAGAGGCTAGGACAGAAAACACAACTGTAATGAAATCTTTCAGAACAAAATACTTGCCAGTAGTATATTGAAAATGTTTTCTTTCCAGAGCATTCTCATTATCTTATCATGTTGTATTGTCAGGCCTTGCCTCCTTCAACCTTAGAACTTCTTTATTTTTATGAAGAAGGCGATTTAACAGAAGAGACATAACCTGAGAATTGCTCCAAAAGGTTCACTGGTTAGTGTGAAAACTATAATGAAGGCTAAGTCCACATCAAGTGCTTGGGAACAGTATAACTTTGTTACCATTCTTGTTGGTCTTTGCAATGGAGCTATGTAGTAGAAACAGAATAGCTTGGGTTGGAAGGGACCGCAAAGATCATCTGGTTCCAAGCCCCCTTGGGTTGAGCAGAACTGTCATTCATTTCAGAGGAATCCTAGCAACTCTCAACAAGTTATTTGAGCTTCTATAATACTGTATTAAAAATTAAAGTAAAAAAGTATAAAAAGATAGATCACGGGCCCTGCTGAGGAGGAACAGTAGAGCAGATAAAGTAGGGAGTCAATGCTGAAGCCCATTACCTGTTCTGCTAGGAACATCTTGCTGAGTCAGGCCATTTATCTGGCTAAACACACCAGATATTATTAGCTTTAAAAAAAAAAGAAAAAAGAAAAAAAAGAAAAGAAAGAAAAGAAAAAAGAAAGACGTATATTTCCGTTCATGGAAACTAATCTATAAATAATGAAAAAGCAATACTGGAAAAAGTGCTGATTTGCTTTCCCCCTTCAGCACACATGAGAGCACTGGTTTCCTCTCAGCCTTGGCAATGCTTTTATCAGGGTTGAAAGCTGTGGATCTGATTTGACTTCTGCCGAACAGGTCCGTAACACCATGGAACCAGTCTTGCTCATGCTCATGCTCTATCGTAATATCTGTATGCAGGAACAAACATTCTAACTTGGACAACACAAATGAAATCTGCTGGAAAATGGAGCAGATTTCCTGCGTAAAGGAAATAGCTACCACATTTAGAAACAAGTGCTACTAGAACACGGCTGTTCACTAGTTTCCTTTTTTATTTTTTATTTTTTTTTACATTAACTCAAAATGCTAAATATCAGGTTTTTGGCCACTTTTCTCTTTTTTTTCCCCTCTTGTGCTGGAAAGCAGTGTTGCCTGTGTTCCCACACAGGGCTGTCACCGGCAGTAAGGCATACAAAGCCATTCAGTTCTCCCCACCAAAGGGCTGCTCTCCAGTTGTGCCCTGCTGCTGTCACCACAGCACCTCGTACCCAGCCTTGGTGTATACTCAAGAAATGTTGTCTGCTGCAGAATCATGGCTCTCTCTCAAATCCAGTGCTAATGGGCGTTCAAACAATCACATAATGATGATTTTCAAAAGGTGCTGCTGGTTTGGGGGCAGTGGGTGCTGTCCTGTGAAATTCCCTCCCACAGCTTGAATTTCAGTAGAAGCTACAGGGTACAACAGACAGAAACATGATGATATGGGATTCAGTTCCACGAATTCAGGTACCCAATGCCATCTGAAGCTCCTCAGGAAAATTAAGGCAACAGCACAGGACTGGCCAACAAAACACGAGGCTTCAGGCCCTCAACCATTTGGCATGAGTGCTGGAGGCCAAGCAGGGCACTGCACCAACCCCAATGCCATCAAACACTTAGAGAGAAGCACTGAATCTTGCCCACAGGGTGGAATCCAGCTCATTGATTAAGACTCTTACATATAAATGCTTTCATGTATGTTACATCTGAGTGTCCACTAATGCAAATGACAATCTTACTGGTGAAGATAAGAGGGATTCGGATGGCCCAATGCATGTTTCTACTTTGGGGGAGCTGCTATCAATTTGCATCAGGGGAAATTTTGTGTAGGTCGCCAAATACATTTTTCACAAAGAGGACCCAGGGGAATCTGCATATCTGGAGATATTCAACATTCAATGGGCAGTAACCCAGAGAAGCCTGCTCTAAGTGCTTCCACTACCACCTTGGATGGGACTTTGGGTGAGCTGCCAAGCTCCATCCAACCCACATTACTCTGAGGCTTTTGAGGTCAATTCAGCAACTCTCCATTAACTCTGACAGGATATAAAAGCCATTTAAATTTCAGTGTTTTACTCAATAATCTGCATCCCACCCCTCATGTTTAGATCCTACAAAATTGATGGAATAAGGAGGATGGAGAAGCAACACAGCTTTTGCAGAGCAAAGTTGTGTCTCAAAAGTGTGCTAGAAGGCTTTGAAGGAGTCAATGAGTGCATTGATACAGATTTTGTGATTATTTTTTAGTTGATTTTGTGTATTCAGCTTTCCTAAAAGTGCTTGGGAAAGGCTGTCTCAAGAAAGGTTATTCTAGAAAACTGAGCTGCCGTGGGTCTAAGGAGAATCTCTTTTGTTGATTAATGTTTGGTTAATAGACAAGAAACAGGTTGGGAAGAAATGGGCAGTTTTTGCAATGCTGGTGATTCCCCAGTAGAAACGATGTGAAAAGGGAGGAGGTGATAGTGAGGTGAGAGTGTGTGGATGACACATATTATCTACAGTCCTAAAAACAAAAGTAAGTGCCAAGTGTCATGGAGAGATCTTGTGATAATGTCAGACTGTGTGAAAATGGCAGGTGCAATTGCTGTTGATAAACATAAAGCAGTGTGCATCACAAAAGACATCCCTAACAACAGAGATAATAATGATGGCAGGGTGAATTATTTCCAGGGAGACAAGGAAGCATGGTATTGCTATGAATGAAATTCTGAAGAAAAGAAAAAAGATAAAAACATTACCACACAATGGTGCACTACAATCTGGGCCTTGTTCCCACTCAATGCAATTGTAGTAGAAATAGAAATCACAGAATTACTGAATCATAGAATATCCTGAGTTGGAAGGATCATCGAGTCCAAGCCCTGGCTCCATGCAGCACCACCCTATGTCTGAGCTGAGGTGCTGCTCCTCATACGTCTTGCCCTCTAGAGTTTTCACCATCTCTGCAGACTCCCTTGGACTCTACAATAGTTTTATGTCTTTCTTATATTCTGAATGGGAAAGACAAGGTGATGGGTAGCCAAGTAGATTGGACATGGGTCAAGCTCTGTAAGAGGAGAAATGAGTCTTTGGTATAGAAAAGGAAAAATGTTTATTTTCCTCCAGTGACAACAAAGGATTGTTATGATGACTCTGCAAAAACTACACAAAGGTTAGTTGAAACTGACCTCTAACCTCTGCTGTAAATGATGGAGTACCACATTCCTGTATCTTTGAGTACTGTGGCCAAAACTGATGAAGGGGAAAGACATCTGTCATATACCCTAAAACTTAGCTTAAATCTTTATCTCCCAAGATGGACTTCCATGTAGAAGTTCTTTTCTGTATTGCTGATTTACACACATGTGAGTGTAGCTGGAGCAATCTCAAGGCAGAATTTTTGGTTTAACTCCACTGCAATAAGAATTTCCCTAAGGATTCAGTTGTCTGAAGCACACAATGTACTGGTCCTATCACTAAACCAAGAATAAACAGTCTTCTGTTTACCCCTCCCTATGGATGGTAGCTCTTTATATTTGTTCAGCATGCAAAATGGAAATATTAGTCCCATCAGCCCTGAAATTTTACAGCTAGTTCTAAAAATGAAACCCCCAAGGCTCTTCAGGCAACCTGAGAAGACTTTGTTTTTCATCCTGCTATTGCAGAAGCAAGTCTCTCCCTTCTGCCATATCAGGACAGCAGAGAGGGCAGTTCTTTCCTCCTCCCCAAGGCTGCTGAGGCAGCTGGTGGGATGATGGACTGGCATCAGGAGCAAGGGCATGCCATGGCTTCTGTGTCTTACTGCTGTAAGTGGGATTCCCACTTACTAGTGCTAGCTCAAACTCAAACCCACATCTTTCCTGAGCCCACCAGAAGATAATACCCAGTCTGAGTTAGAGCTAGAAATGCGTGAACAAGAATATAAGCAACAAAGCAATGCCCTCTGAATGCAGCTGAGACTCTAGCCCACAGTCCGAGAGCACTGTGGAGAGCAAGAATACATGTATCTGAGCAGCAGAAGCAAAAGCAAGCATTGGCTGTATGACCTGATGTATGCACAACTGTCCTAGAAGATACATAATACTCCAGTAGAAATACAGTTAAATGTTTTCCTCTTTTTGTCCTCCATCTGATGTTACCAGAGGCTTTTGAAAGCTATCTTGCAGATAAAAGACCTCCTAAATTACAGCAACAGGAAAATAGCTGTAATGGTGCATATATTGTGCTTCCAAGATGAAAGTCACCTTCTTACACTTAGAAAGCCACAGATATTAAAATAGGCAACTACATAAACAAGGTTAAATAATGTAAAATATGATTCTTCAGATGGGAAAGGAGTGAGCTGGATGAGCGTGGTTTCTGCCTTCCTGTTTATTTACATTTTTCTCGTTATTTTCAGGTAAGCAGTGAACTTTAAAACACAACTGAAGTTTCAGCACACAATACAGAGCCATGCAAATTGCCACAGTAGGGCTGTCTAATCATAAAGCCTGCCTCTGATAACAGCTAACAATAGATGCCTCATGCGAAGATACAGACGTTCATACAATGGACAGTGTTTATGGGAAAATTACTTTCTATCTCCAGGGAAAAGACTGCTTATTTTATTCTGTGCTTACGTGGGAACCTTAGTCTTCACTCCTCTTAACCTTACTTAATGTAACAGTGAATATTTTCCATTACCCGTTCAAATCCTTCTGTCAATCCTGCGGCTGTTTCAAATCTGTGAAGCCTCACGCAGCCCGTACCGCCATTAGGCAAAGCTCTGACCCACCAACCCGTGCTCACAGCCCACATTTTTTTCACCTCCCTGTTGCACAAGGAGAATTTCCATCAAGTATTCATTCTCCCATATGACCTGAATGCAGGGGTCTGCCTGGAGCAGCGTGGCCCCCAGCCCTCCCTCAGCAGGGAGCTGCAGAGGTAGAAGCCCGCATCCCAAAGGCAGAGGAGGCTGCACCATCTTGCAGCAGAGCAGTGAGCACCTCTACGGCTCAGCAGGACCCTGCCTGTCCCCTTCGTCAGCACAGGGATAAGGATCCAGCGACAGGAGGAGCCCTCCTACCCAAAAATAAAAGCAAACACCAGCTGCTAATGCTGTATCCACAATACCGTGCTCCACAGACAACGTGACTTTATTCACAAGTATGATTTTTACAGAGGTAGAACAAAATACTTTGTATAATCTATTTTTTTTTTTCTTCTTTTTAACTATATACAGAGAAAGAATATAATAGAGTGGCGAAAAAGAAAAGGTTGTAAATGAAACAATATTATGCCATCAAATACAGTACAAACAGCATGCAAGAACAGCTTCAAATGAAATCTTGCTGGTGTAACTTTATTTTATTTCTAATGTGGTAAATGAAGAGTAGTAAAGAGTCATGCTCTAATTGGATTGAGTACGCCACAGCTCTGCAATTTTGTTCTAATTATTTTTTTTCTTTTACAGTAAACCAACAGGATAGCTTTCTTCTCACTGTGGTGGGGAATGCTTTTGTAATGTCCAGTGTAATCTTAACAGAAAAATATAATAATCAAATCTACAAAGTGTACTCTCATTTAAAAAGCAAAACCATAGAAACTGTACAGTTTTAAAAAGCGAATTATCTCAACTGCTTCTTAAGAGAATTTTCTAAACAAAGAATAAAATATGCAGAATAAAAATTAGGAGAGCTATTGTTCTGTAACAAAGCTAATCAAATACTTGTTTTCTATTCCAATAAACGTTTATTTATTTATTTATTTTAATTAATGACTAGTCTGGAAATTATGAAGCGGGCTGGATCTTATTAATGTTTCACTTGACAAATAAAGCATGAACTCCTTACAGGTTCTATAGCTGTCGTTCCCGTGGGGATGGATGGAGATTGGTTCTGCATGCATGCTAGAGACAGAAACAAGGTTTAATCATCGGTGTAGATTTTAAAAATATTCTTAAATGTTTTAAACCTCTTGCAGTGTCTATAAAAATAATCTTGCTTGCTTTGCTACTGAATTAAGATTTAGATTGGGGATTTTCTGCTACAACTCATTTTTGGCCCTTACAACTGCCGAAGACTTCTACTGGCTGTTACCCAGGCTGCTCCAGCTCCCATGAATGATGGTCAAAGGCAATGGTTAGAGCTTCACCTGAAATAGGTGATGGTGACAGCAAAACCCACACTGCTTTCCCCATGACACGTACTGAAACCCAAGGATCTCAGCTTTGGGGAATTAGGCTGTCCTATCCTTCTGTCCCTCCAAATCCAGTGCTTCTTGTGGGAAGGGTGAAAGCAGGGGAGGGACTGTGCTGCTACACCTAAAAACTGCCTGCATTGGTGGCAAACACTTCCCTGTCCCTCATGTCTGCACCCACTGGGACAATGGGTGGCATCTGGTCACATTTACTGCCATGCTGGTGGGAAATGAGGCTTATCTCCCTATGCTTCGAACATTGAGGAAGGATACTGCAAGCACTGGGGTTAAACTACCCTCTGGCAGCTTCCCCCTTAAATATAATTTTAAAATTCAACCACCTGTATATTTGATTTGTCTTCATCAAGAACACTAGGATGGTCAATATTAAACATGTGCTGTTTATGGGCATGCACTGGGTGTCAACCCAGCCTCAATGACTGTCCATTTACTAAAGATCAAGCAGAACACTGACCAGGGAAGGCTCATGGGTACCATCTGACCTTGGGCCCCCACTTATCTCACCAGGGAACATGGGGCAGGTTTCAAATCCAGTTGGTCTGGGGCAGCCTGAGCCACATCCTTTATCCAGCTGTAAGGATCATGAACTGCAGTCAGAAGGATAAATAAATACCTGTCCTGCATGAGAAATCTCTCTCTGTTTTCACCAGGTTTGTATTTCCATGATTTTGGCATCTCCCTGGGAAATGGATTGTCAGACCCTTCTGGATCACCCTGGTGCAACTGACCTGCATTTCACTCATATGCCCTGCAACAAATGACTGCCCACAGGAGCAGGGCATTTATGGAGAGGTGTGAACAATGTCTTACCTGCACAGAGGAAATAATCTGTGTGGTAGCTTACAATCAACAGAATAAGCCCGGCATCTCTTTGTGGAAGAACTGTGCAAAATGGCTGAAAAAACAGGATTGTCCATGACATTCAGTGGGAGATATCCCAACCCTCTGAGTAAGATTGCATCCTTCCGTTGTGTATATCAGCCTACAAGTATGAATAAAACAACACATCCTGCCCCATTAGCACTGGGGAAGATTAATGCCCTCTAATTTACACTAAATAAACTCCAAAGCATGAAGACCAATATTTTAGTCTCATACTCAGCCGCTTGTGAAATAATAGAGATCACCCTGAAATTACTATTATGAAATGCAAATATTTGCAGAAGAACAATTAAAAAATATTCCTGAAGTGCAAACGAACAGCTCATCAGCCATGTTTGTGGTATGCACAGAGACGGTCAGGAGGCGAACACCAATAAATCTCAGGGCAGAAATCTGTGCTGAAAACCCATTATCCCACTGGCAGTAGGCAATGGTACAGCATCTTGCCCTGAGAAGTAGTTTTACCCAAGAATCTGGGGGGTAGACTTAGGATGCCCTTATTTTGATTCCTTGGACTGTTTGTGTGGATATAACTACCTGTATTTTCAGAAAGCTGCAGTACATGGCTCACAGTAAATCTACCTCAAACAGTTGCTGATACTGCTCAAACTGATCTCATCTGCCCTGATCTGCAATTGTGTGTTAGCTAAAGTAATAAAAGAAACCTGTTAAGCCTAAATTATCAAATGAAAAAGGCAATTTTCTCATTCATACTCCATTAGTTTTTTTAGTTATTGCTAGGAAAGCTCTAAAATGCTTAGGCCATAAAATAAACATGTGGCTTAATGTACAGCATATGTACTTAAGAGGATGATGGCATCTGCAGTAAATGCTCTGTACTGCCATAGTAATGGGATGCACAAATTAAGCAACAGCACATACCAAGAAAAGCATGCAAAAATGTATGGCGAAAAGTAACAAGTCTTCTGCTTTGTTGTTGCTATTTTTTTTTTTTAAATAACTCTTTAATTGCTAAAAAGAATAAATCACCAATATTCATGCCTACAACACAGAACTGCAACCTGGTTGATTTCAATAGATGCCCGTGACCTCTGTTCCAGCGAAACTCTCCAATACTGTATTTTTAACATTTCACTGATTAGAAGTTTATAAAACTTTCACTCTCCTGAATTAAATCTAATTATGTATTTTCCAGGTATATAATGCTGTTAAGATTTTGGGGAAAAAAAAACCCACAAACCAACACTAAAATTCTTAAATCACAGAGATGGAGGATAACAGATGAAAGTGTCCAAGTATTCAGTTTTGAAAATGAAATTAAGAGTCACATTTGAAAATGTCACTTTCAGGCCCTTCATTCAAACAAATCAGAGTACTTTCCATCAGCAGCTTCAATCCCTTTAGTAGAGTGCCACAACTAAAACTGTGGTTTCACATAAGCAAAATTACGTAACCAAGCCGTTTACAGACATATTTCAGCATTACTTTGCAACAGCAGGTATTAGGATTTTGAGAACAGAAGAATCTCTGAAATTCAACTTATGTGCTTCTTTATCCATTAATAGTTAAAATAGGCATCATTCAGAAAAAGAAAAGAGCAGAAAGGTGCAACAAATGGCTGGCTCAGACAAACTTGATGAGGATCATAAAATGCAGATTGGCAATTCTTCCTTCGGCCAGGCTTTTACAGAAATACATTTCCCCGGCTCAAAAGGATGGCACAGCAGAGCTTGAAAGAGCAAAATGCAAAAATATAAAGAGAAGAGTCCCGTTTTCTTCCTCAGTAATCCCATAATGTCAACAATCCGTGTCCATGCGAGCTCTGGACATGCGCCTGGTGGGCCAGGTGCCTTGCTCATGGTTGGAGGTGCATCTATGCTTGCCCACTCCACACTGTAGGTACGTGGCCAGAGCTGTGGTGCTCACTGGTCCCCAGGTTCCCATTAAGGTGACCAACTTGTTCTCCCCAGTTGTAACAACCGTGCTGGCCTATTTACTTATAGCTCAGATTTTCTTCCATTCACAGCACAAAGCTGAAAAGTAAACAACAGTTAAGAAAATGTTTGCTTGCTAAAGCTCAGCATGAGAAGGTGCAAGCTCCCTTTGCCAGAGCCTGGACCTGTGTTTACTCACACCCTCTGCACAGTTCCATGCCTCCGCTCAGCATTGTAGAGGGACAATCACCATCCCTTTCAGGCCCCTCACTCTCATTTGGTTTTTAAGGAGTTACAAAATACAACAGAACACTGTTTTCTGAGACTATATTAACTGCACTAGTTACCTACAATACTGAATATTTGTTAGTAAGAACAGGAATGTGTGCTTTCCAAGTTTGACATTCAGGTCTTTGAGGATGAGAGAGGAATTAGGTGGACTGTTCTGTCACTTAATCCGAGGCTTTGATGTATTTTCTTAAAATTTGTTTTAAAACCCAAAAACAGAAGACACATTTTAACTGTTGAACTTTTATCAGCTAAAGGAGTTCCTAAGGACCCTATCACTATGTGGTTACAACAGAAAATACATAGTTAAGGTCAGGTCACGGTTTCCAAGAACATTCACAGGGACTGAGGATGAGGAAACGAGGGCTGGATCCTGCGCGAACCTCCGGGACACCGAGCTGCTCACTGAGGAAGTGCCTTGAGTATTGCATTCACTTCCTCTGCAACTGCTGTCAAAGCAAATTCAAACTGCTCCTGTGGAGAGAGCAAAGGCATATCATAGAATCACAGAATATCCCGAGCTGGAAGGGACCCATAAGGATCCTTGAGTCCAACCCCGGCTCCACACAGCAGCACCCAAACCCAGCCCTGTTTTCAGAGCGGTGTCCCAATGCTCCATGAGCTCCAGTACTGGGGCTGTGCCCGCTGCCCTGGGCAGCCCATTCCATGCCCACCACCCTCACCCCCAGCTGCCCCTCCCCTGACAGCTCCACGATATTCCCTCAGGCCCTGTCGTTGCCCCTGTGAGGAGCTGCAGCCGCCATGATGCCTCTCCTCAACCTGCTCTGCTCTGCACCAACAAACCCAGGAGCCTCAGTGCTCCTCACACTCCTTGCCCTCCAGACCCTTCCCATCTTTGTAACCCTCCTTTGGACACCGTAGTAGTTTTATCAGTTTCTTATAGCGTGGTGCCCACCCAGTGCTGGAGGTGAGGCTGCACAGCACAGAGCACAACAGGACAGCCCGTCCCCAGCCCCATGGCAGTGCTGGGCCTGCTGCCCCCAGGGTACGGTTGGCCCTTTGGCTCCGGGGCACGCTGCTGGCTCAGACCCAACCTGCCCACAGCCAGAACCCCCTGATCCCTTCTCCAGGGCTGCTCTCTCATCCCCCAGTCTGTACACAGAGCCAGGATTGCCCCATCCCTTTTAAAAATTGCTCTTTTAAACATTCATGTGGCTGGTGATTGCCCAGCCCTCCAATTAGTTAAGATTAGTCTGCAAAGCCTTTCTGACCCTGGATAATAAACCAAAAAACTTTCTGACACCCTGGAGCACTGCTCTGCAGCTGAGCATCCTCAAGACATTGTTGAAAATAGGAATATGCAGGATGAACTGCATGTTGCAACAGCAAGGAACAGAATGCTTGGGGATTATTGATGCCATATAACAGGTTTGACAGCATCCTGAAACTAGAGTCATTTTAATGGAGAAAAATGTTGGTAGCAGAAACTAAGCAAGTGGGACACAATGATGTATTGCAATTGCTTGGCCAGAAACATTTGGGAGTAGTTGATCACCAGCCATTTCTTTCTGACACGAAGATGGAAACTCATTAACAAAACTGAGATATGAAGTAGGCAATACACTGCAAAAGAGAAACTTTGGCTTCTCTCAGGTGTTTCCAGTTGAAATTAGCTAAATATATGCTTCTTCACATTTTGCCTGCTAAATAGAGAAATGCATGCTTTTTGCTTTACCTCTTATTAGTCTTTTCCAGCTTCCTTTTTCAACTGCTCTTCGGTACCCACAAATTACCTAGCAATATTTGGTCCACTTTATTCACACTTAGGAAGGTTTATGCTACTAATTTACCATAAGCATAAAACAAAAATCAGTAACAGATTTCTGTGCTGAGTTAGGGGAGGTGTGAAGGACACAGGCAGGAATAGCCACTACACCTATCTGCAACCCTAACGTGCTCCTAAACTGTCTGGTTCTAAAGAAGGACAAAGGAGCTTTGCTTCCTCAAGGTTAGCAGGTGTTGTATTTTCTAGAGTGAGTAATCTTTCTCAGAAATTTAGCTTAATGAAATATCTGACAGGATGATTTTCTGTCTGCTTCTTTTCAGATGGAAAAAGAAATGTGTGTAGTTTACTTAAGAGAATAAGCAAACCAAGGACAGCAGTCAAGGACTGTGCAGAAGTGTTTGGATTTTCTAGAACTATTCCAGTGGTTTAAACCAACTGGGGTTAAGAGCTTTGGAGGAAGTGACTTTAAGAATAGAGGTCTGAGATGAACCCTGCCAGGATGCCATCTGTGCCTCCAGTCAGAACAGGGATGTGCAGCAGGAGCTGCCCAGGGCTGTGTGGGATGGGTGAAGCGGTGGCAAATGGCTGTTGAACACAGCCGGCCCTGAAGGTGGTTACTGGTCCAACAGCACTCACTTTCAACAATGGAAGTCTGCAGGAAGGATGAAAGGACAAACTATAGGTGAGTGACTCATAATTCAGGAAGACAACTGACTTTTAACTCCTGCATTTCAGTGTCAGTCTCGTCCACCTTGTCTCACCTCTCTGCATCCATCTCCTGAGCACAGATGCCTCAGAGGGCAGCCATAGTGGGCACAGTTACCAAGCAGAAAAAGAAGACCAGAACAGAATAATTTCTCAGATAAATCAATGTTCAAGAATTACGCTGTCTGTTTGGTGCTGTCAAAATGGCATCCTTGCACATTTGCTGGACTGCATCCATTGTTTTTTAATCACACATCAGTTCACCCTAAAGATTAGAACTCACCCTCATTAGGCACAGAAAACAGTCTGTTGGTCTGACTGTGCCTGCCTCAAGGTCTCTGCAATTAAAGCGGATGAGGAAATGCTGATGGCCACCCAAGAGCAGCAGCTATATTTTGAGCATAGCACAGTGAATGTGTGAGCATAGCTGGAGGGCAGAGAAGGCGTTCATCCAGACGCACCATATCAGAACCAAATGGGGAGCACAACAGTAGTAGGGAAGCTGATCCAAGCACTGCCAGGCTGCAGGGTGACGCAGCCAAGTGTCCACAATGGTTAAATGCCTCTTCTGAGAGGCTGGTGACGGTTCCGAAGAAGGGAAGCTGCTATCACTCATGTAATGAGGTACCTAATGTACCCTTCATTTTACCATAAGGAGAAACTTGTAAGATCAGGGACTACAATATTTTAATATTAGTCCCATTGCTGAAAATAACTTAATTCACTGAGCAAATCAGCCCTGAAGTGCCTTTGCCTCTCACAGAGGGGTGGCTCACACAAGAGCACAGGGCATCGCTGCACTGGCCATGGGGAAGGCAGTTCTCACCTCAAGACCCTGAATTGATCAACACCAACTTCCAAGCTCAGATATGCATTTTGGAGACAACCTCAGTGGAGACTGCCAGCTTCCATCAGGTGTGACCCTAAATTAGTGAGGCAAAACAACTCATACAGCATCTTTACACCAGAGCTCCAAACTGACTGTGAAATGCTGCCATAAAGGAGACAGAAAATAAATGTTTGATCATGAGATGTTTGAGAACTGGGTCTTCTGGGGATGCTGCATCTGAGCTCTTTTTCCTCTTTCCTTCTGCACAACACACGCAGGCAAAGAACACAGTGCAGCTCCAACTGAGGTATACTACCACTCTCCAAAGGAAAGCCTTCACATCCCTCCATACCTACACACAAGGACAACCACAGATAAAAGCAACTGCAACAGTTTTAAAGGAGTTCAGTTTGTCATTCTCTAGAGCTCATTCACATGTGCTACTCACTTAGACACCTAGGCTTTGCCTAGAAAATCAAGCTGGGCAGGCATGTTGTGTTGTCAGCCCACTTACAATGCAGAGGTGACATGAACATATTTAGAAATAATAAGTTTAGAAATATATAACAATATGCCAAATTTCTTTAAGACCTCAAATAAAAATTCTCTGGAAAACAAAGTAGGTGCATGCAGTATATAGCATATATGTATAACATGCATAATAGTACAGATTGCTAGTGGAAGGACACAGGAAAGAGAAAAAGGAGAAATATTTTTCTCATGACAGAAAACACGCTTCTTTTCACACATTACTTTTCCTCTCACATGTGGCATATCAATTCTATTTTATGATTCCCCCTGCAAAAAAAGTAACAAAACCACAAACCCTCTATTATGCTTCTCAGAAATGCAGAATGTCGTTATGATAATTTCATTACCATTTATTATATACAGTGCTTTTGAATTAAAGATCCTTTCCAGAAGACAAAATGTTGCAAACAAATCTTTCACATGCTTATTAAAAATGTGGAGCGCTGCCTGCTGGAAACACAATAACAATGCTAAAGGAAGTCGGTGTTTATTTTGCCTAAGGATATTCTCTAACTGGCATTTCTAACCTGACTTTTAATCCATTGTTTTAAATTACTCCAGGAGTCTAATATTCCTCATTTGTATTCAGTTGGGAAAGCACAGGGGTTTGTTTAAATCCGTCAGAAAAATTCTCCGGGGACAGCGCACTGCTAGCATGCAACCAGATATTTATAATTTGCAAGACATTAGCTTGAATAAGTGATTTGGGTGGTTTTGAAAACATAAGAATGATGGAAGAAAGAGCAAAAGGTGAGATAAGCCACATCCTGGGAAAATTTCTCATCCTGGGTGAAAACATTGGTTACATTTGCTTTTCTGCAGCTCTTCCAGAGGGATGTTTGGAAGGGAGAAACATGTCTCCAGTGAGCTTCTCAGGGGACTCAGGTAACTATTTCTGAGCTAACTAAGAGAATCATTCTTTGCTTCTAGAGCTGTTTTTTTTTTCTTCTTTTCTTTTGTTAAAGGCAATAAGCTGTAATTTCTCAGAAAAGAGAGACAAACCAGAATCAGAGCTCCATATTTCTACAGAGCTGCCATACAAATTGGGTGCATTTACAGAGTTTGCTCAGGACTTGCATCTTCCCTTAGAATACACATGTGAGACACTGGGTGCTGTGTGCTATAGGCCTTTTTTTCTCCAGTTTGATTCATCAAAGCAGAAGAAAGATGTGTGCAATTTTATGTCTTGCTGATACGGGTTAGTTAGCCTTGGCTGGCTCAACTTAATTTTTTATCTACTTACTTACTGGGTAAATTAGATCTAATACCCCTGCACCCAGCCACCCCCGCTCCCTGTTTTCCAATATCACTTCTAATATTAAGTGAGAAGACAGCATGATTAAAAACAGATTCAGGAAAAGTTATGGACTAATGATTCCTGAAAAACAGATTTATTTCACCTTTGTCCCCCAGCAGCTTCAACTCCCTAAATGTTACAAACGTTCCTATAGGTTTCTCCCTGACCATGACAGAGTGCTGTCACTGCTGCTCCAGTTATTCAGTTTGGGGTTATAACTCTCATTCGAGATTTCACAATGTCACATTCAGATTTATTTGGTCTCAGTGTCATGAAAAGCTTTCTTTATGGTCATATGTGCAGCTTTAACTTGCAGCAAATACCCCCTAATATCATTCCATATAAATTGTAACAATAAAAAAGTTTCATTCCTAATGGAAAGAACAGCAGTCACGCTACCAGCTATCCTTAAAAGCTACACATTACAGAAAACTTTGAGGCTGTTACAACTGATGGTAATTAAAGAGTAAGATAGTCACCACACCATTGGGTACAAATGCAGTCACAACACTTCATCCATAAAGGACATGGCTTTAGGCACACTGTAAGCTCTTCCCCTCAAAGATGCTAAAAATGGCTTGATTTCCTTCAAAACTATATTTCCGTTAATTCAAAGCATTACTTTCAGAAAAAAAAAAATCCAACAGTCATGTTTGCTTTAAGAGTTGAGGGCTTTTAGAAAATATTAGATGCGCAGTTAAGCACACTTACTCTAAGAAAATAATCCATATTTTAGGATGAAAGCAATGACATTTTTTCACATGCACATTTTCTTTAGTAAACTACAGACTGTTATCTTGACTGCCCTTCATATATGGCAATCAAGATGGATGTTGGAGATATTGCAAGAAAGAGGAGTAAACACCAAAGAAAGTAGCCTAGATAAATCTTCAGCATAAATAAACCTCCGTTGGTGGGGAGCCAAACAGTAATCAGCAAGCGACGTGCATTAAATTAGGTCATACCCTCTCTCTTCTGTCATGAAAACAACTACTGTGAAAGACCTTTAATGTATTTAAAATCCCAGTGGATTTATTGACAGTACCTTCGTCTGGACCATGCCTGGTCTCTGGTCCCTCAAGTGCTCCAGGGTAGCAGCAATATCAATCTCTTTAGCACCTGCAACAAACCACAAATTGGGCTGAGTTCAGAGCACAAGATAATCCATGCTGCATCTGTCAATCTCTTGCTATCGGGCTCCCTTTGGGCTAACAGTACAATTGAAAATTATTACATCCATCTCTCAGCAGACTTGGCAGGCAGCTGCAATTTTTGTGTTCATATAGAAAAATAAGAGGTTGGGGCAGCTTTTATTAACATTAATTCAAGAAAAGCCAGAGAAAAACAAATTCTTAAAAAATGCCTTTGAACCTAGAGCAGAATTTATTTAGCAGAACCTAAGGGTCCACTGTGGCCATGTCATTGAGTGCCCTTTGTCACTTCTAGGATTATGCATGGAATGAAGGGCCCAACCCACACAAATATTGATGTTGTTAAAACAAGGTTTAGTTGAACTTCTGCCACCCGCCACTGAGATCCTGCTGTTTTCCTCCTCAATTTCGTCTTCAGTTGGAGATTTTTCTTGATCATGTCATTTTCCTTCAGTGCCTAAGCAGATACGTGTTATTGGAGAAAAAATCAAAATCTTGGTTCCTCCCATTAGTCCCAAGAACAGAAGTTGGGCTGCAAACCCTTCCTGCTGAGAAGTTCAGCGATGGAATTTGGTCTCACATCTGTCCCGTCTGCATCTTGCCAGAACAACAAACAGCACCAAAGCACTGGGCAGACGGGCACCATGACCACAGCAGGATTGTCCCATGCCCACTCCACATCCCCTATTGCCCCGTACATTTGTCACTTCCTAAGAGGATAATCAGTTTGCAAGTGCCTCCTTGAAAATATCAGCTGTATCAGAACTGGAATGAATTCATTCAGTAAATGTAACAGTGCCAACTTAGATATTTTTGTTTACTACTATGAGTTGGGGCATTGTACATTTGTCCTATCGCTCCCCCTCCATACTGTATAGGAATGATCAGGGAACAGCATTAGACAAAATAGTAAGTTTTATTAAAAAGTAAAAAACAAAACCCCACACATGCTTAAAAGGATCAGAACAATACATCAATACATATTAACACATGCTTTTAGGTCTGGTAACAGTGACAGTAGCAGTAATTATGTCTTAGGTCTGCTGTATGTTTTACAGCTGCATTTCATCTGGAAACCATCAGTACAGGTACAATCTTTGTGAAGGCACAGCACAGGAGCTCATTTTGGTGTTTGGTCTCACACAAGCACAAATTAGTGGGAATTTCCTGTTCCCCCACTGCCTTCCATGGGAGCAGGGTTATGTAAGTATCCCATGTGCTTTACAGCCTTACTTGTGCCCTCATTACATTCCCAGGATTAAAATATCCTGCTAGCACCTTGGCTTGACATTAGAGGAATTCTCTTTCTCAGAAATTAAGATATGAGGAAAATTTAACACGCTGACATGCACAGATGAGGTTAACCATGGTCCTAGTTAGCATCCCTGCAAGGATGAACCCCACTGAGCTGGTGAGCCCATGTGTCCCATGGGCTTCCCTGTGGCTGCAGATGCATGTGTGCCTTCCCCAGAGAGAGATGCTCTTCATTTGAAGCTACTCTAGCCTCAGGACAACACAATAACATATTAGGTGCTGGGAAAAGGTTTCTGACAAGACCTAATAACACTCCTTAATGGCCAGATGGGCTTCTGAGCCTACCTTTGAAAGGGTTAATTCCTCCATCGCTGTGACGCAGATTGCAGGCATTTACTGGTGAACTGAAGCTTGCTTTTTTATCATCATTAACAGAATGACATGCCTAATAGTATGAACAATGCCTGACAATAAAACCCTGATTTAGCAAAACACTAAAGCATATGCTTGCATTGGAACATAAGAATAGTCCTGGTGGGCCGAGATGCTTAATGGGAGGCTAGCTTTGGGGGGTTTTGCCAACAAAAGTCCCCACGTCAACATTTTTTACTGATCAATACCCCTGAGCCCATGAGTTGGGATCAGCACAGCACCCACAAGCACTTCTGATGGCCTCAGCCAAAAGTAATAGAAAAGTAAAGAGAGCAAAGCATGATTTTGCCCAAGGCACGTGTCTATCTTAGAGAGACCAGGGGTGGACAGGCAAAGGCAAAGCACAGGCACAGATCCATTTTCTACCCCTTTCTCACACTTCTGAATACCTGTGGTACAATGGTGAAAGGAACTACCTAAGTACCTGGAGAGGCAAAACTTCGTGTTACAAAGATGGGCACTTGTTTTGAAAGAAAAATATCCTGGAACAGAAAATTCATGAGAAAAAGGATGAAATTAATAGCACTGAATAAAGCCAGCATGACTTCTTTTTCTCTCCACAGACCTCTCCCACATCCACCAGTACATGCTCTCCATCTATTCCCTTATTATGCCTAAATCAAAAGAGTTTGAATATAAATTGCTAGACACTGAAATGTGCCAAAAAGGGAAGGTTTTCTATCTTTTCTCCCCTCCAATATTTATTTGTTCAACAATAGTACTGGTTTCTGAAAATAAAAGGGGAGATAAAAGAGGGAGCATTTAAAAAATGAAGAACTGCCTTCTCACTTCTGGCTTTATTTCACCCTGTAGGGAATACATTTGGGTTCTGTTTGAGATAGGCTCCTTTTTCACACAGGGTTTCATCACTTGTTTTTAATGAATGGGAGAATGTAACTCAGAATGAGACTGAACTAATGCTGCACCAGCAGTGATGCAAAAAAACAACCACGCAATCCCTTTGCAGCTCAGAGAGCTAGCTGAGCAAATACCTCCTAACACATTTCCACACCAACACAATGCAGATTTTAAACTTTGGTAATTAACCACCATCCTTCTAAAGGCTTTAAGTATGCACAGTAAGTGCACAACGGTCCGCATCAGAAACAACTGGATACACTGAGAGAACACAAGAGAAGATGCGAGCTGAATTATACTTTGCCCCCAAGGAGAAAAGCAGTTGCTGAAGTTTAGGGTCATATCCTTTCCAGCCCTTTCTCTCCCCGTAGGCAGCAGTGCAGGAAGCATGCTGGCACTTAACAGCTGGTGCTCCTGATTAGCAGCCCTCAAGGGGTTAAAGTGTTTGCCCTCAAATAGTCATATAAATGGAGGATCCAGTGTGTCATGAGAGCATGGGTAGAAGTGGAATCCCCAGTTCCTCATGCAACAAATAATGAGCTAGCCAGTGCTGCTGCAGTAGGCTTCATGACATGACCAGAAAGCAGCTCAAAATACTTAAAATTATTACAAATTTCCTAATGTTCGTTTTATTATTGTAAAAATGAAATCTTCCCCTCCTTGTCTCCTCCCTCTAACCTGGCAGAGGATCTATCCTGAAAGGCACAAGACACACGAGAAACACTTGGTGAAGAATGCTCCCTTCCACTCTGCAGCACTGCAATCACTGTGATGGTACGGGAATGGGGCGAAGTTTGCAAAGAGGGTAAATGTGTTTTTATACATTAGCTGGGAAGAAATGATGATGCCTATCATGAAAAAGTGGTTTTCAGGTTCAACAAAGTGCAGAGATTGTGCACCTGAAAACATACTGGCATTTTTTCAGTTATAATAACAATCAGCATTTGTTACATTAGTTGAAAATTGTCTTAATTAAAGCAAGTTTTGAGATTTTATTTTTGTGTAATAAGCTTGAACATACTTGCACTGAAAGCAAAGGCAAAAGTCCTATTATTTTATTCATTACTAATGAAAAGTGCAGCACACATTCTGTGAGACTGAAAGAATTTTATATTAAAGCACAGTATTAAAAGGAATTTTTTAGATTCTAGATTCTCTGAATCTTCTGTATATTTATATAAATAAAATGATCCTTAAATACTTCATCAAAGTAATTATTTGCGGGGGGTTTCTTTTTAAATTACCAAAGCTGAAGAGTTTTCTTTGTGCATGTTTCACAAATACATATCACTCATAAATATTACATTAAAAAGGATTTTCTAGCTGGGAAAAACTTTCAGATCTACAGGCACACATCCTCCAACAGATCGGATTATAACTCTGCAGAACAGCTATAAATTCGTTACTGCTAGTCCTAAAGGACAGCCTGGTCATTAGGGTGCTATGTTTAGACACATCTGACTTCTCTTCTAGCCTGAGATTCCACCTTCCTGCACCACTTCAGTTAAATCATTAAATTCACCCTACGTTTCACACCAACATTTATAAAGTAAACCATTTTTCTTCCTACTTTGTAAGTTATTATGAAGGCAAATCTATTTGGATAGTAAGGAGGTGAGGACCTAGATAAATACTCTGTTTTATTCTTTTAACTCAACACCCTTTATACCTCCCTCGGCCCTGCTTCTGTTCTTCTTGATCACAAAATGATCCCAAAGCTGAATATACGATGCAGGAGTCATGGTGAGAGTTGTAAATATGGGATTATTAGCACTGTTACCATTTCTCCTTAAGGAGATGATGATGATCTATGTGGGAGTAAGAATTTATCCCACAGAAAAATAACAGAGCACTAAGGGGAACACTGAAATGACTTGTCAAACACCTTTATTTTTGCAGCAGTAAATATTCAATAGTCAGATATTACCTTCTGAATGCATCTTTTTATATGTATTATGTTCTATAGATTTTGAATTAGACCTTAAGGGGCAAAGAGACTTGTTAGGTCAGATTGAAAACGGGCTTGTTAAAACCTTGAAGGAAGATGCCATTCTTTCCACTGATGTTGCTAGAAGCTGAAAAAGACCCAATTAATATTTGCAAGAGGCTGCTGATTGGCAGCTCTTAGCCTCAGAGTCACTCAGTTGGAAAACTCAAGCCTAACATTATGAACAAGTAAGAATACAAGTGAGAAAAAAAATAAGGGCAAAAATGTAGTGTCGGCACGGACAATCAGCTGTCTCATCACAGCAGGTCTGCATTTAGGAAGAATACAAACATTTTTCGTGTTTGGGTGATGACTGTGTGACTCACACTTACATGAGATGCTTCACGGCCAGACCAACCCCGTGCACAGCAGCTTTATGCTGCCTTTCCTCTCACCCCACGTGAGTATTCTCACAAACGGGCTCTCTTGTGTTGAGC